GAACGCTTCCAAATATTTTCACTAACCTTTCATTTCCTTGCACCACACGAAAGAGATTTACACTGCTCACACGATATTATGTTGCGCACTAAACAAACCCACACATATAGTTATTATCGCTTCATCCAAAATCACTTTGACCTACACACACCCTCTAGACAACCACACCATCGCTTTCAATTCATTAATTCCAAATACACTTCACCATTTTTCCTAAATTTCACATATTGCATTAAAGATACTAACCTTCATGGTATTCTTCGCAATTATGATCCCATAACCCAAATGTACATCTTCTGTCCCATCACCAAGACCTTCAACGCCGAAGAATCCCGACCCTTCCTTATCCCGCACGAGTTTGTACAACCTATAGAAATCCCAATTTTAGAATTCATCCACAACACTAAATTCAATCACAAATTATATAATCTAATCCAAAACACACCTTATGAGTTTGCAGTTGGCACTGAAGAACTAACCACTATTAAGGCACTTCAATTGCTTTGGCCACTGCTTCAGACTAAAAATATCATCCGCATCTTAGCTAAACTACTAACAACTTCCGATCTCATCCACGACATCTTCCCCCACGGTTTTTTCCCCGACGACTAACAGGTAAGTATGAATTAAATGAATATTACTAACTAATTAAAATATTAAAAAACTCACCATTCTTTATCCATGTTTTCTTTAGATTTTTAGCCTTCATCCGACAATCACCTACAAACACCACAAAAGACAAATAAAAATCACAAATTTCATCAAACAAATTTCAAAAATTCTATTAATCTCTTACACTTATAAATTTATAAATTTAATACCAATGCAGTAAATTCATTTCTAAAATTTTCCCCACAAGCAGTAAATCTAATTATGATGAAAATTTGTAACTTAAAGTTCCCCCATCACTAGCAGTAAATTTCCAAATTCTATGCAGTAAATTAATAAAATGCAAATGCAGTACTAACCTTTTGATATTTTCATTCATTCGCACAGAAATTCTATCCACACTCGCACAGCTCGCCCACGAAGAATTGTTTAAAATAATGAATTTCAGTTTCAAGTTTTCACACTCAACAACTCTAACATATAATAACATGTTTCAAACTTTCCTTTAACCCGGTTGGAAAGGAATCATATACTAAACAAAACTAACCAACGCAGCTTACTAAATACCACAAATCATAGAATAACAGCATGACTAAGAAAAGGAAACCAACGGTACCCAAACCGGATTAACCCAGTTTAAAACTGGATAAATTATTCTTTTGAAGACTATTATAAAGTCTAAGAAAGAAATAATAAAACACAAAAAAGTCGAAAGACAAACCCATACCACGAACAATTTGATTTTTGGAAAAAGGACATAACCAACAAGACATAAGAAAAACCACAACAAACCCAACATAAAACGTTGTCACATAACAGGACCCCTCACAAAAACCGCATGAAATCATACTCCCACTCCTGGCCTAACCCACCAGGAAGGACGTCCTGAGCATGCTCTATAGCCGGCCTAACCCACCGCGCTACATCCACGCTTTGTGACCACACCTCTATTTTTAATAAGAGCTACTCAAGGGTGAGTAACTCTTCAAAATAACCGAACTAAAACAAAAAGCTTTTGTGAAAACAACTAACAAAAATCATAATTAAAAATTATTAAACTAATAAAAGTTTTATAAAATGTAAATTACATTATGCAATACATAGATCAGAATACAACACCAAGGACGAACATCTAAAGACAAAACGACCCCACTACACTCGAGAGAGAATGGCCAACCACAATCGATATGCCACTCACAATCACAACTCAAAGGATTTAGAGTACGACTTGACTTCGCAGAAAAGGACTTCATTGAACTAGACCAATGACCACCTCGATGTTCAAGTATACGTACAGATCCGAGTAACCAGGCATCCCCTCCACGCACAATCTCCACGCCATTCCCAAACTAGATCAGACACAAAAGAAGTTCTCCACGCAGAACAGAAAAACCTGACATAGCCAACCATTCTGAAATCAGATTTGAGGTTGTTGCAAAGACTTAGTCGTTGTCACTAGAAGACACAACGTCTTATGTCTCTAACTCCAGCTTCCTGGAACTTCTTTAACAAAGAGGAAACGGAAGAAAATGATGTTCGCCAAAAACCAACGTCCATCATCCATCCTTCGAATTGCAGAAGAACTATTCTAAAAAACTCTGTAAAACCCGGATGGGTGGAACCTGATCTAAACTACATTTTATGATTGGATAAATTAGATATTTTACCAATGTAAAGTATTTAATATTAACCAATCATGATCCATCTAACTAACAACCCACTTATTTGTAAGTGCTGAAGTTACTTGTAATTTCAGCACCAGAGAGATTTGAATTTAACTTAGAAATTAGTTGGACTCTCCCGAGCACTTCAGCAGCCGCAATAAACCAGTATACCCTAGATCTATTGAGCCTAGCAGAGACTAGTTAAACAACCTGAGACTAGATAGTATAAGAGTAAGATTAGGATCGGTATTAGACTAAGAAGTTGCACGAATCTATCCGGCCGAAAATAAGATAGCGTGACGAGCAGACGGTGTACCCTATCCGAAATTACTCTATGAGTTAACCAACTCGGTCCTAACTCAGTATGATAATCATTTTTTTTAAAACTATGAAATTGTATGACAAGCTTTTTTTTCATACTATAAAAATGTATGACAACCATTTTTTTATACTATAAAACTGTATGATAATCATTTTTTTCAGACTATGAAACTGTATGATAATCAATTTTTTCATACTATGGAACAGTATGATAATCATTTTTTCATACTATAAAACTATATGATAATCATTTTTTCCATACTATGAAATTGTATGATTGGCATTTTTTCCATTCTATGACATAGTATGAATAGGATCTGTTTTTAAATTTATGAAACAGGATGGAAAGCTTTCCTTGCACAATTGAAAAATGATTTACTAACATGTCAGTTTTTCATAACTAAATTGAGGCAACTGAATCTAAGACCCACCCATAAAGCATTCCATGTCTGAACAATGGAGAACACCGACAAAAAGTTAGAGGCTAGGAATCTCGACTGCATTTTCCAACAATTCTCCGCAAGTTTGGACAGCTCAAAGCTCCTAATCCTAGTGAGAATATACAGAGCGGGGAGCCTCAAAAAAATCTTGAAAAAATACAACAAAACTTGAGATGAAGGTCACTGTCAGACGAGATCAACACTGAATCAGCTGTCGAAAACAGTATCCACTTCCAAGTGGTATTCAGCCTCTGCTTTCTATAAAAAACTAATTCAAAACATCGATTCTGAAAAACAACTCATATATTGTTATTTCTTCCCACATACCAAAAATCATCTTTTGAGACCACGATAGGAGTCACATATTAGACAATCCTGTCAAAAATCAACCCAAGTGAGGCGCACAGAAGCACAATACTGCACAGATTTACAGGGTAAAATCTGTTGATCAATATGTTTCTGAATGACATCAGTTGGTTGACGTTTGACAGGATCGTCTCACATTTGACTCCTATGATGACCTCAAAAACCAATTTTATCCGGTCGGAGCCGAGTTGCCTATTTAACCGTTTCTTGAATTTAGTCAAAATTGTCAAACAATTTTTCTGATTTATGACAAAAAAACACATAGCTCAAAATTCGTAAAAAAAACAATTGAGAAATATTTTTGGAAATTTTTTTCTCATTGCTGAAATTGGTCTGAATCAAAACCCACCCTGATCATATACTCTATAATTTTTTTGAAAGTCGGAACAACGAATTGAGACTGTGTCGGAATGCTTGTGCTCGGGGTGGATTAATTTTTTCTACAGACAAAATTTGGACTTTTTACAAGCCATTTTGACGGATTTTTTTATATCAATCAAAAGATTTTGTTGTCTTGTGCTCAATTTCCAAAACATATTTCACCTGTTATCATTTTTGTAAGCATATGTGGGTTTGAAGATTGGCAATTTTGGTTAACTAACGCGCGATACATTTCGTGCTATCAGCTCGTTTGTGAGGATTTTATTTTTTCTATCGCAAAATGCCTATCATACAGTTTTCATACATGAAATTTGTATGATAAGCGATTTTTGTCAAAAAATAAAAATCACCTATTTGTTACTAGTAAAATTAAGCAAATAGAATAAAAAAATTTATTCAAAAACCTTTAATACATTTTTTAAATTTTTTATGAAAATTGTATGATACGCATCCTTTCCATAGTCGCCATAAATGAAATTGTATGAAAAGAATTTTTCTTTTATGAGGGTCAACCCGGGGAACCAGTAGCGTGCCGAGAGGGGGGGGGGTCGGGAAGAGCCCCTTTGGTATGATTTACGACATCCATTTCTGGCTGAACGAAATCAAAATTTTTCTAAAGACGCCTTTGGCGCCACTATAACCAACTTTGAGGCAGAGTGCCTAAAAACTCATTGTTTGCCACGTTTTTTTTTTAAATTTGCCTTCGGTTCAGAACATTTTTGACAAAATAGAGTCCCTATAATATATTCGCAGAGCTCGGAAAAAGAAATTGGTCGACCTACAAAAAGGTCGGCAAAAATTCCATAATTTGATGCTTTTCTTAACAACTTCTTGACAACAAAAAAATACTAAAACACAGAAAAAAACCTGCAAGCAAATTTAAAAATATATATATGTAAAAAATTTTGAATTATTTTCTTTTGTTTTTCGATTAGACTTTTGATGAAAGCCATTGATAAAGGCCGTTTTTTTAAATTATTTTTTTGATATAAGCCGTTGACAAAAGCCGTTGTCTAGGCTTTAGCCAAGATCCACTCATAGCTGAATAACGAACTAAAAAAACATAAAAATTCTCAAAGTTTTTTCTTGAACTTTTGTGGTAAGAAGTTTCTGTGCTTCTTGCACAGCAACCGGCTATCCATGTTTTAATACATTTTCTATTTTGCATTGTAAGTTTACGTTTCTGAAGGTCTATTGACTTTTTTATGAATAATTTTAGCCGTTTTTGACTCACTGCATGGTAATCTGCGGACAATTTTGGATGAATTGGCTGGCGACCCAGAAATGGAAACCTACTGTTGGAAGGCTTTCCGGAATGCTCTCATCGAAAAAAAGTTTCCCATCGTAGGTAAGACGGCTCTGAAAATTTTGTCACCTGATTCAATGTCAATGAGTGAAATGAGTTTTCTGTAGGTAAAGTTGTTGAAGTTTATTCACTAGCATGCTTTTGTTTCAGCGGTCAGAACTAAGATAGCATTGAATCATGAAAAGCATAAGCCAAAAATTTCATGATTAATGAAAATGATGACACAGTAGAACCAGAAAAAAAACAAAAAACTAAAAACAAATAATAACAAGGAGATCCGGCCACAAAGAAAAAAAAACTTTTTTAAAAACTGTCTCACTTTTTTTGAGGTGTGGTGTGAGGATCTGAAAAAAGCCTTGAAGTTCGATTGGAAAAATTAATTAGGTACGATTCACAAGTTTTTTTTATAAAAAAAAGGAAAGTGAAAAACAGATAAAAACAATTCGATTTTGTTTTTCAAACTTTTTTTGCAGAAAGTTTTTCAAATTTTTATTTTTTGTTCCAGAAACAAATTTCAAAAAATTTAATATTACTGGAGTAAGCTAGACTCCAAACAAAAAAAATCAAACAGGTTTTCTAAATTGGGTTAATAAAATATACCACTCGAACCATTCCGATATTTACTTGTGGAACCTGATTTTAGGTGGAAAACAAAAAGAAAAGAAAAAACTAAAACACACTTGAAGAAAGAGTTGGTCCCCATTTTCAATTGTCGGAACATTTTTAGAAAAATGGCCTGAAATGTTTCAAGGCATCACCGACAAAATTAGAACATTGAACTTACCACTAATATAAATTGAGAAACGATCAAATTCGGAAAGAAAAAACATGTTGCTATCAGTTTTAGAAAAAATGCGTTCGCAAATTTGAAAAAAAAAATACCGATAATTCTTTATAGACCAGAAAGTAGCATGTTACTAGTCGTGAGTTTTTACCAGCCAAATCAAATTAGACTTCAAATCAATTAACTGAACCTTGTCGATCGAACCAAATCACTAGTCTGCATGCAGCGACATTGTACCACATTGATAGAAAAATATTTCTCATGTGAATTCTACATTATGAAACAATATACAAGGACATAACCTTTACAAAAATCTTCAACATACTAAATTTCGGTTGAAGTAAAAAATGAATTTTTATTAAACCTCGCCTCAAAGATGAAACCGTGGCAGTCTATTGAAAATTATCCTGGAACAAAATGTAAAAAAACTATTTAAGCTTAATTTTATTTCAACGATGTACCTTTCATTTTAAATCTCTGAATTTCAATGAATTAAGATTTTTAAAAACTGTTGCAGGTCTCACAAAATTAGTTTGTTTTATCAAAAATTGTCAACAAGATCAATTTTATGAATCTTAAAGAGTGTAGGCGATGTAATTTTCTTTTGAAGGGAGGTTAATTTTTTCTTTTTGAAAGTTGAAACGTAAAAACAAAATGAGTTTTTCACATAAGATTTTTCACATAGATTGAAGCGCAGGACAATGCTACAACGAGAAATGAAATATCTTTTGAAGCTGGATTATATCTGCTCAGGAAAAACCAGAGAAACAGAAACTGCGGGAAATATACAATCGCGTGAAGCAGGGGTGGATATAGTGAGGGGAGAGGGGAGGTTGGCGGATACTCCCCACTTTGTTATTGTTTCCCTGATTCCCCACTTTGTTATTGTTATAAAACATCAATTTTTGGCTGACCGACCTTAAAAATTTTACAGACGCCTCTGGCGCCTACATAAAGTTTTTTGATGAGGGAGCGCGCCAAAAAAACGCATTTTTATCAAACTTTGAGAAAACAGCCGCCCTTTCGAGAAAACCATAGATAAGCTTCTGGCGCTCAGCTATTTTTGAGTGTTAAATTGTTTCAGAAGGCCTTGTTTCTTCTGACTTTGACGTTTCCAAACACCTCAAGGAAAATTTGGATGAACTCTACGTCTCAACTATGAAGGTTAACCCAGCACTGAAGGAGTTCATCCTCAAGGGGCTCTTTAGACAAGCGGATTCGTTCAAGCCTGAACTCTTGGACAGTTTGCTGAAGCAGATGCTGAAGAAGTCTGGATGTAAACACAGTGCACTGGAGGTGAATCAGCAGTTGCTCCTCTACAGTGTGATGCAGCTGGACCAAAGACTGAGTGATTTCTTCTGGAAGAGATGCGGTTAGAACACCTCCACAGCTTCCAATATACTTTCTTAGTCGAATTTTCAGTTGCGAATTTTCAGTATTAGCTTCAACTTTAAAACAAACTTATACAATTTTTGGAGTGTTCGGATATATACTTTGGGGTGTTTGGATTTCTTTTAACTTTTAAAGGCAGGTTACAGTCAGGGTGTGTACAGGGTGTTTCAGTCATAAATTAAATTTTCACAGATGCTCTCGAATTTCAAGTACCTTTTAGAGGAACCGATGGCCTCTGCTCTTTTGGCCAAGCTCCTGTTAGACCAAATGAAAGCCTCCTCCGAATTCAGAGAGTGGATATACACGTTAAAGGATCTCACTTCCTTCTTTGAGAATAAAGCGTGTGAGTTCCTGAATGTATTCTATCTCGAGGATCCCGAAATGGCAATGCAGAATCTGCAGGCAAAACAGAAGAGTTGGTTCGATCTTGAGCCTCTGGACCTGGCGGAGAAAGGTGAATTGCTTTTCTTTGAAATTTACTAAAGGAAAGTCTTTTTAATCCGCACAATAAAATGATGGCGGGTCCATTGCATTTGGGATCTGGAACTTTATCGGATACTGAATAGCGTCGAAAAACTCTTTTTTGTTTTCTCAGAAGCCCCATGACTTTTGTTGTCGCAGTAATAGCTATCAGTATGAGCCAAGCAAAGTCACCGAACGTGGACGAAAGGCCTCAATTTTGAAAATAATCTAGCAAATAACATCGCTCAACTTTATACCACTAATGCATTTGAAACTTGAATTGAGCGAATCCCCGAGTGTTCGGACTGCTTGTTAAGATGTTAAGATCTATGAAATTATATTCCTTATAAACAATGATTTTTTTTTTTGAAAATCATCCCCACGCACTATTTAAAGTACAAAATGACATGTTGTGCAATTAGCAAAGTATTAAACATACCAAATAACATGCGTAATTTCAACTTGGAACAATTTATAAGCTGAAAAAGGCCTCCGCTTGCGTGTTAATAGCACGACATATATTGGGTGTTATCTATCCCATATTGGACAAATCTTTAAACTCCCATAACTTCATGGAAAAATGATCACAGGTGAAATATCTCTTACAAATTGAGATCAAAAGATCAATACTTTTCGGATGTTAAATAAAACATGCCGTCAAAAATCGTTAGGTAAAAATTCGAAATTTGTCTGCAGCAAAAAACCACCTGGAGCAGAAATGATCCGCCACTCATTTCTTCAAAAATTGGAAAAAAAAACAACCCCAAGCATAAAGATTCCGCATTTCTGTGGAAGTCGGAACAACTAATAGCGATAAAGGGGGATTTTCTTGTATCTTCAAAATTTAGTCTTCGAAAACCTCAAAGAAAACGCAAATTTTTTTTTATATATGCAAAAAATCTTTGACATTAAATAGAATTGACCAGTTGAAAAATAAGCAGACATATGAGTTTTCAAATATTGTCTGATTTAAGTTGCATCGGAAAATTATTTTAAAAGAACACCGATTTTGAAAAAAGTGAAAAAGGAAAGGTAAAAATTTATTCAAAAGCTGCTCGAATTGTAAAGCAAAACTTAGCTGTAATGCTAAAGTTCTTCTGATGTTATTTTTGACTTCAATATTTTGCAAAACTGTTCTGCGAATAGGAACGCCTAACGATTTGATTGGCTGAAAAATTTCCATCATTCGTTCCCTCCATCATGAGAATAGCCGCCGCCACCCATAATTTTCTGAATATAATTGATTATTATCCGAGAAACATCGGTGCGGCTACACTAATTTACTTCAAAATTTGAGAGTTAAGATTTCAAAAAAATATTGAATTAACTCGAGTCAATGCGGAGTTTTTGATTCTCCAGGCAAGGCACCAAAAATGTATCGTCATATAAGGTGGGAGAAGGTGGATGAAAGGACCCAAATATTTGAAAAGATCCTTTGGATTTCCTGCCAAGTTAAAAATTCCTGGCAACAGCAATCCTTGACTTCGTGGCAGGAGCCATCCAGGAACCCTGCAAATAAGTTTGAGATATTTTGTGTAAAATTTTGAAAAAAAAACCTTTTTAACCTGCAATTCTTATAACAAGATGTCGACAAAGAAATTGAGGCAGCGGCAAAAATTACAGTGAAATTTAAAAAATTCTTGAAACGTTGGACAGCCCTGAAGGCCAGGTTTGGACAGCTGCTATAGCAACTTTCCAGACGATTGACGGTGAAAAATCAAGATATCTTTTTTCAGGCAATTGCAACACATTTTTCTCTCAAGTTCCGGTGAACAGACTGCAGAGGGAGACATTCTACGGCAGTATCATGCCGTCATGCTCGTGGGTCCGCCTTATTTTATGCATCCTTCTAATCATTCCAGTTGGAACAATTCATCTTCCGTGGGTAGCAAAATACAATGGAAAGTTCTACCAGATGAAGGTACGTCGACAATCACTGTAATAATGCAGACTTCGAAACGTTCATTGTCAATTCAGTAATATACGTTTCAGCATGCATTGTCAAAACTAATAAACTGCTGGCCCGTACTAAACTTTTCTCACAATTTCACGTCTGATCATACAATTTTCAGTCTGGTCCAGGTATGATCATGTAAAGTCAGGCATGAACATGTCTGGTCCAGATTTGAATTTAACTATAATTTCTGAACGGGTGATCAGTTTTTAGTAAAATCTTTTTAGGATTGCGAACAAGAGGTTCTGTGACATGAACAATTTTTACAGATCATTTTCCAGTCCAGTTCTAATCAAACTTGAATTAGATAACATACCAAATACAGCGCTGATTTAAATTAACTGGACAAAACGAGCTAAACTTGAAATTTAAAACGCGTTTTCCTCAAATTGGGTTGAGTTTAGGTGAAAACTTATGAAGATAAAACTTGCTTAAAAATGTAGCTGAATTAATATGGAGTAATTTGTTTCGGAAAATTCGGGCCAAAAATTTTACCACAAAAATGAGTCATTTTGTCTTTTCTTAGTTAATCAAAAATTACGCCAAAAATACCCAGTCGATCACAGACATAATTACATCAAAATGAGCCCCTTACGTAGCCCAACAAACTTTAATTAGGGTATATTCTCCAAAACATTGTATAAGTTGATTTATTTTTGTTTGATAGACAAAAAAGGTCGTTTTTACTATATAAAATATCAACTTTTTATTTAAAAACAATTTTTAAACGGTTTGCAAAATTTTTTTGGAGAATATACCCTTCTTAACGTTTGTTGGGCTACTTTGATATAATTATGTCTGTGATCGACTGGGTATTTTTGGCGTAATTTTTGATTAACTAAAAACGACCTTTTTTGTCTATCAAACAAAAATATATCAACTTATACAATGTTTTGGAGAATATACCCTAATTAAAGTTTGTTGGGCTACGTAAGGGGCTCATTTTGATGTAATTATGTCTGTGATCGACTGGGTATTTTTGGCGTAATTTTTGATTAACTAAGAAAAGCCAAAATGACCCATTTTTGTGGTAAAATTTTGGGCCCGAATTTCGCAAAACAAATTACACCATATTAATTCTGCTAAAATTTTAAGCTAGTTTTGTCTTCATAAGTTTTCACCTAAACTCAACCCAATTTGAGGAAAACGCGTTTCAAATTTCAAGTTTAACGCGTTTTGTCCGATTAATTTAAATCAGCTCTGTAGAAAAACGGTTCAGGGGTACTATCTTTTTGCACGCATTTGCCCGAATCCAAAAATTCAGAATTTTGGTAGATGCATAAAATACGGAAGCTGCGCCCTACCAAAATAGAAACTATTATTGAGTCACACAAAAAAAGTTATACACATATGACCAGAGTCTAAGATATTTTGATGCCATTGTAGAATGCCGTCAAAAAACAACGAACTAATTAACAGTAACAACCTAATTAACAAAAAAAACATGCTTCGTAGTTTGCGTCAAAATCGTGGAGGTGATGATCCTTAGGGAAAATTTATTGAGATAAAAACCAAGGTCGAGAAGTTTTTATACAAATGAAACTTAGTAATGTATTAGTGACTCAAGACAAACTTAACGAATTTTAAAATTACTCGACAAAAAAAAGTAGCAATGCTTATCAGCGAAAGTAGCATCAAAAACCGTGTTTGTCACAAGAGTCATCAGAGATAATAGCTTTTTGTTTTACCGGCTAATGTTGACTGATGTAGCAGAAATGCTTGGTTCAGTTATACCAAATGAGGACTTGGAATTTTGAAAACTTGAACCTTTAACTTCGATTTATCTTTACCCAGAATCTGATAACTTAATGTGTGCTTTTAATTTAATTACGAAGAACAAATCTTTAAAAAATAAAAATAAAGTTGTTTTTCTACTGCTCACTCAAAAGTAATACTTTTACCCGTGCGTGAATATGAAAAAAAACTTTAATGTAGAAATGATTAAATTTCGACATTCAGCATTGCTGCAGTCAACAAACTAAAGTTTTGAAAAATTTATGGTAATTGTACATAACTATCTGGAAACGATTCAATTGATATGTTCGAAAGAATTTGCTAGAAAAAATAAGGATAGCCGGTTGCTGTGCAAGTAGCACAAAATGTTCCGACCATTTTCTTGAAAAATAAAATTATTTTTCTTTCATTGAATGTCGATTTTTTTTTGTGCGTGGTTTGATAAAAAGAGTGAACGAAAATCTAAGACTTAAGCACACTCGAGGCTCTTTAAAAAACTGGCACGCTAAAAACAGCTTTTGTTAATTTCTGAAAAAAAAAGTTTTGCAAATTTTTTTTATTCTTTGAAACCCAAAATGGCGCTAAAAACTTCGAAAATTGATTTAACTAGAGTAAATTTAAATTTTCAAGGCTTGAATGGGCTTATCCTGGTTCAATAAACAGCCAATTATACGCGACGATGAGATAACGACGATGAGAAAAAATTCTCGACGATGAGAAAAAAGTTTGAAATTTTTTTAAAGGCTCGAATCACGACTTTAATATGGAATAACCACTCGCCAATTCCGATGATTATTTGTGGTCCAAAAAACTAAAACACACCGGAGTACAAATTTCTTCCCCATTTTTAATGGTTGGAACAATAAATCACTGATAGAAGCCAGATAGCTTGAGCTAGTTATCGAAAAAAATAACCACAATATTCAATATGAGGACCAACAATATACTTTCAGTTGTCCGTTCGTTTAGTCATTGATTTCATGGATTAAACAGGCACTTTTCTTGCAGGGTTTGATTGCGCAACAAATGGTCCAAGACAGAAGCAAGAACATAAGAGGGAGTCGCGGCATAGGCATCAATAAAAAAGAAATGAGACAGTTGAAGCGACAAGTGGGTCTCATGTTCTCTTCAGTGTACGCTTCACCCGTGGTCATATACATTTTAGACTCCATTTACACGTTGGGAATAGTGGTTGCTCAGAGTTACATGCTGACTGTGGTGTTCCAGCTCAGGGAGGAAGTTTCGATGATCGAATGGGTTCTTCTTGGATTGATGGTGTTGAGACTGTTCAAAGGAACGGAAATCGTGTTTCCAGCCTTGTTCTTTTGAAACGGATGAGAAACAATGTTTTATTAGGAAGTAGAGTGTTGAACCAGATTGCTCATAAATCGATTGAACTTTAAGACCAAGTAAAGAGTTTTTTTGGTAGAAGAATTGACGAAATAATTGAAGAAAAAAAGGAAAACATTTCTCAGTTTTTAGATTTTTTTTATTTTATCACCACACATGCCATGTACAATACCATGGGCGTGTTTATCATCCGGTGTCGTCCTAAAAACACTTAAATAACTGGCCTCAATTCAATTTTGAACGCATTGATTTGCAGCTTACGCGTGTTATAAGAATGCAATATATTTCAATCTCACGTTAATTATCCCAAATTGGCCAAATTAGCAATTTTCAAACCCCAGTAGCCTTACGAAAAAAGCACAGGTAAATATCTTTTTAATTATGAGCTTAATACAACAATATCTTTCAGATAGAACACAAATTCTTGCTTAGTTAACAAGTCGAAAATTAATACAAAAAATCCTTAGTTAACAAGTCGAAAATTGACTGAAAAGAAACTTCAAAACTTTTTGAGATTTCCTTTAAAAATCATCCCCCACACGCTATATATTCTACAGAGTGATATAATTCGCCTTCACAAAAGCATCAAATAAACCAAATAGCTTACCTCCGTTCAATTTAGAACAACTTTTAAATCAGATTAAACCTCCGCTTATGCGTTAATAGTACGAAAGTTATCGCACGTGTCAATTGCCCCAAATTGGCCAAATTAGCAGCCTTTAAACCCCCTTAAATTTTCAAAACGTAATCACAGAAGATTATCCTTTTATCTTGAGCTCAAGCCAACAATACCTTCCGAATGATAAAAAAGTTTCCGTCAAAAATTGCTAGTCAAAGAGTCAAAGTTTGTCTTAATACAAAAACTAGCCTGAGTACAAATTTTTCGTCGTTTTCTTCAAAAATTGTCGGAACAGAAATTGTAAACTTTTCTCTAATTAGTTGAGGCTTGTTGATTCCTTCTTCACGGCTCATCCATCCCTTTTCAACGAAGCATCTCCCAAATGCCACCCCCGAACTTGGATTCCGCTCATTCCACTTCACCACAACCGCTATCTCCAACCTTGAAAATTTTATAACTGATGATTTTTTTGTACCAAAACCACTCTACCTTTACGTACTTTTCTCGCCACACATAACATTTCAAAGGCGTTTGATATGGTATGTCATAGAACACTAATGGAACTCATTCGTGACGCACCGCTGCCAAGAGGTATAGTTCGATGGCTAAACAACTATTTATGTGGTAGACAAGCCAACGCTATTTTAAACAACCAAGTATCACCCCATAGAAATAAAAACTATGGAAAATAGCAGGGCTCTGTTTTTATCACAAGTTCTTTTCATTTTGTTTTGTCCATGGCGCCCCTCTGCTCCCCCCCCCCCCCAAAAAAAAATGTTCACCTCACCTCAAACGTTGATGATTTATACCCCTTCACCCAAAAACACGACGTTGAGGTGTTATCGCGCTCACTAAATGGTTATATGCGCCATCTTTATAATTTTGCTATCTCTCGTAGGCTAGCATGCGCGTGCTCTAAAGCATCAATATCCTTGCTTGGTCTCACAATAAATGTCTCAACAAAACACCAACTGTTTTTTTAAACAACGAGCCTCTCCATCTTAGGAAAAATCCAAAAGGTTTAGGAGTTACTTTTGACCCGACCCCATGCTTTGCAGCTCACTGCAAGAGATTCAAGCTAAAGGTAATAATCAAATTAAAATGAACAAAACACTGAGTTGTTTTTGGGCCAACGGACTGGATATAAAAAAACGCTCAGTCAAAAAAGACGACATTTAAGAATTTTTTTGACTTTTCCAGGCGTCGAAATTTTTTAGTATACTTGTTATTGCGCCGATCAAGGTCAAAATGAGCATAATATAAAAAGACAAAAGTTCGATTTTTTTCTCTAGATGAGCTTAATTAAGCGTACATTAGCAAGTTTTTGTAGCTTTAATTTTAACTCAACAGAAAAACAGCAAGAAATTTAAATAAACTTTTAAACTATTTTCTTGATTTTTTGCCAATTTTGTTGTGGAATGCTTTCTGATGTTGTTTTTTGCTTATTATGATGGTTATTTTTATTTTATGTTTATTGTGAACTAGGCTGGAAACAAGTTTTTTTCCTGTTCAAAGACATCGTTTCTTGTCTTTATTATGAAGAGACTAGGCTGCAAGCGAGAATACAACGATTTTATTTGTCCAATAAGTGGCACATCATATCGACAGTAAACAGCCTCCTTTTCATATTTGGTAAGGCTCAACTTGATTGCTTATTTGTGGTCTTTGAGTAACTCATGAGAATGGAAGTTGAATGTTTTTCAAAAGAGGACTGATTTTACTTTTAAATGCAAGGCTTAAGCTTAAAAAAATACGAAGTGATCGACCATTCAAATTCACTTTCAGGTCTATTATTTCTAACCGAAAGGACCGGAATAACCTTCCGAAATACAAAGCCGGATCTAGGATTTTCCCGAGGGGGAGGGATTTGTAGGTCGACCAATTTGATTTTCCGAGCTCTCCCAAAGCACCAAAACAACCCTGTTTCGACCAATTTTTTGTGTCTCAGGCAAACTTGGAAAAAAAGGCCGAAAACCGATAAGGTTAACTACTTATAATTACAGCAGAATCTCTACCAAACCGTTATTTGTGCCGATTACCTGTTTGGTAGAGGTTCTGCTGTTGTTATAAGTGGTTAATTCCATCAAATGCTGTTTCGAAGTTCTTATAAAAATCATTTGTTTGATTATGGTTCAGTTGTATTTTAATTCATAGTTTACTGCACTCAGTTAAAAAGAGAAAATAATCGATTATAGTACAATTATAATTGTACTTTTATGAAAACTATAATTAATTATATGCGCAAAATTTAGACGCTTAAACGATTCATAATCCATGATAATGATAACATATTTTGTGACATTATAATAAATTATAATCAATTATAATTGATTATAGTTTTTCCGAAAATCTCATAGTTTTTTAATTTTTCATAATCTGTTGTAATCTATAATTGATTATAATCCTTTTTTCTGTCAAAAAACTCTAAAATGAGATGCCCTGTCACTCTTTGGCTCATCTGAACACAAAGTTTTACCACGAAACAAAAGATTAGTTGAAAGAATCCCTCGGTAGGTGAATAGTAACTCTTCTATACAAGTCATGAAACTAAAGCAGTGTGCTGATTTTTGGGTGATCAAAAAATTTAAAATGTGCATCATGAAACAAATATAATCAAGACGAAATGAAAAAAAAACGTTAAAAATTTGAATTGATTTGAAAACTGTTAAAACAATTGTCTCATTTTTCAAATAAACCAACGTCTACAAAAAGCATAAAATGTAAAAAAATTCAGGTAGAAGGTCGAAGACAAAATAGGCAAACAAAAGGAATTTGTCGATTATAATGGATTTTTTTTCTGCAAAAGAAACGAGTTAGTAATTCAGATAAAAATAATCTTTTGTAATCAATTATATTGTATCATAATTGATTATCTTTCAAAAAAAGAGATTTTAATTGATTTTTAATTGATTAAAATCAAATTTTTCTCAATTTTTGTAAGACTGGTACTAAAACCATATTATAATCGATTATTAACGCTTGAAACTGGATGCGAGAACTTCTTCTAACGTTACTGTTACTAGTGGTATTCTAATTTTGTATTACATACATATCTTGAAATTATTTAAAAACGCGTGTCGTATAGGACTCTGAAACTAAGCGTTTCACCCGCATTTGAAGAATGTTAAATTTCGTCGCTTCATATTCAAGGCTTTTTAAATGTTTTTATTCAGCTTTTCATGAAATTGTTCCAACCAATTTTGAAACCAACCATAACTTTTGGCAGAGCTTATGCAAAAAATCAACCAGAGGAAGCGAAAATGTTTTTATCCTGCTACGAAGAAAAAAGGAAACCCAAACTATTACAAAATAGTGTTGTGAAAAAGATGTGTTTCAAAGTAAATGATGAAGTAATCATCTCAATCTTTACGTTTCAGCTACAACTCTTCATACAGCTTACGACAATGCGGATGCTTCCGAGTGGACCCAGGTGTTGTATTTGTTGAGTAACGTCCTCAGCTACGACATCCTCCTGAGGTCATGTCTTGTATGGGACTACGTTGGACCATACATAGTCATGATGCGCCAAATCGCTAAAGATCTCCTCATATTTCTTGTAGTGGTTCTCATTTTTACAATCGGATACGGAATCTCTCTGCAAAGCATTCTCTACAGCAATGCTGATAGTAAAATTACCTGGGGAGTTATTTTTGGGATTTTGCTCAAGCCGATTCTTCACGTTTTCGGCGAGAATTTCCTTGACAACTTGTCCCAAAGTGGCGATTGTGACACCGACTCAGAGATCCTTTTCGAAAACTGCCAGCTTTCCTTTCTCAGACCAGTTGTCGGCTTAATTCTCTTTCTCTTCTATGCAACTTTAGTGAACCTCATGCTGGTCAATCTGCTGATCGCCGTTTTCAGTAAAACTTACACACAAATTAATGATAATGTAACCCTCTACTGGAACCTAGTTTTCTACCGATCCGCTGTTAAGTACTATTCCAGGAAAAATAGCTACCCGGGTCCGATATTTTTTGTTAAATTTGTTGTCGATTTATTCAGCTGGTTTCGAGGGAAAAGCGGAGGAGCTATAAGGCCCTATTCGGATACAAGAGACGGAAACAACGCTGAAATCTTAGAGGAGCAGTACAAGTACAAAGCGAAGAAAATGGAAGCGCGTATATTTCAGAAATGGATCAAGCCAACAATCTTATACTCGCCCCCTAAATGACCTACCATAAAACCTCCTCATCAAAACATGTATTATGATTTTGAAAACTAATTTGTATGAACTTCGCATTTCAAATTATAAATTTAAACTTGAGCAAACTCCTCCTGCTCAAGTATTATTTTGAATGTTAGTTTGGATCAATTGAGCAATCCCCCCAATAGATGGTTGATGTGTTTTTAGCACGCAATCAATTGACCGACTGAAGTTTAATTTATTTAAGTATCTAGAAAAATTTTCAAAAAAAATCGAATTTTATTTCATTTTTTTTGCAAATTTTTGTTTGGGCGACCATTGCCTCATCGCGCAAAGCGACTTACCAGGATTGGTGCTCTAGCCTTGTATCTGAATATCAAAAACTGTTCTCCGTAGCACATTAAAACTACTTTTTTTCCCATTTAGGACAGAAAAAAGGCGCTTTATGCGATTAAAGTCGCCTCAGTTTTATTGCTCCTTTTTTCACTCTGAATGTAACTTTTTAGCTTTGATATTGTAAATTTTGACGGTTCACTATCGTTGAAGAATCTGATTTACGATTCCATATCATTTAAACAACTTTGAAGTGGTTGCAAACATGCCTCAAGTACCTATTGAGCTATCCCCCCGCGCATTTTTTAAAAGTTGACTTTGACTGAAGCCTATGTGATCCAATTAACCGTTTTTTTAAAACTAGTTCATAGTATTAATATTATGCAATAAAAAGTCACATACAAAAGTTTTGTAGCCAGTTTAATTCTCAATTTTTGTTCGGGCTTCGACTAATGAAATGACTTGTTGTTCCGACTTTCGATACGAAAGTAACGGAATATTTGTGCTCGGGGTGGGTTTTTTTTTCTTCAGACAAGTTTCGATTTTTTAACTAGCCATTTTTGACGGATTTTTTTTTATATCATTGGAAAACTATTGTTGTCCTGAGCTTGAATTTGAAAAGATATTTTACCTGTGATCATTTTTCATAAAGTTACGGGGGTTTAAAGACTACCATTTTGGCCAATTTGGGACAATTAACGAGCGATATAATTCGCGCTATTAACGCGTAAGCGGAGAATTAATCAGTCCTATAAATCGTTCCAAATTGGTTGAACGAAGCTTATTTGCCATGATTTATTTGTTACAAGGAACGAAATCTCTCTTTTTGTACTATATATGGCGTGTGGGGGGATGATTTTCATTAAAAATTTCAAATTTTAGAAAAAAAATTTTTCATTTTATTTCATTTAGTTTTTTAATGTTATTACTGCTGCTCCATTAACCCTAAAAGGCAGTGGGAACATTCAGGGCTTCGCCCTGATACGAGCAGTCTTGTATAATTTTGTGTGTGACAGGTAACTCTTTACTGTTCCCACCTAAATAATAATCTAAGCAAATTTTCATTCTGAATTACAATTGTTCACCGGATCAATTGTTAATTCAAAAGTAGTTTCCAAAACATCCCCATTTCCTCTCCAAATCGATTTTCGGTGGTTAAGATAGATTGATATTCAGCTGCTGTTATATGCAAATTTAGCTAAGCAAAAGATAAATTAAAATGTTACTTATAAAAAAAACTTTAATGTTTCTTGGACTATGTAAAAAAGCGGAGGAAGTGGAACAGATCGTTCATATGGGCGCATTTTTTCAAACAATTTGGTCTTGTTGTTCCAATTTTTGATGAAAGTGACGGAATATTTGTGGTCGGGGAATATTTTTTCTCCAGACAAATTTCCACTTTTTAACTATTAGTTTATGACTGAAGTTTTTCATATCATTCGAATGGTATTGTTGTTCTGAGCTAAAATTTTGAAAAATATAATTTTACTTGTGTTCGATTTTTAAAAAAGTTTTGAGATTTTCATTTTAATTGGGCAAATTTGGGAGACTACACGGAATTTTTTAGAGCTTCTGGAAGCTAGTGAAATATTGAGCTCAAAATCAGGAAAACAGTTCATCTCTGACCATTTTTAGTTAAGTTATGGAGTTTTGAAAGTTGTCGATTGGGAAAATCTGGGATAAAATAGCTTCATATATGTGAATCTATTCAAGCCAAAATGCCAAAGAAAAAAATCCAAGTTGAATTGAAGCAAGCAGTTTTTGAATTTAAAATAAGATAACAATAAGAAATTGAATCACATTCGGAAAATGAATATTGTTTTAATTAACATAGATGAAATCGATTAAAAAGTCTTTTTTTAAATTGTCAACTTTTTTAATCGACAAAGTTTGATCGAGACATCAAAAAGCAGTCAAAAATTTAAAGTTTTGCCTTGACACAACCAGTTTTGTTGTTGGTTTCATGTTCAAATTAATATATTCATGAGTGTTGATTCATTCAGAAAAAAAACCCAATAAGCTAAACCAGATACTTTCACCGTGAAACCTTGCAAACTTTAACCAAAAATACGTTTATTGAAGTGTTTTTCTAAAAACGTAAGGGTGTAGCAAATTAAAAATTCAAAACTTTATAACATAAAAGTTTAACAAATTTTTTTTGGCTTAACGGGCGTTTACCCATGTTTTTTCGGAGCGTATTAAAAACGAATTATTGTTCCAACTACTTTCGATGAAAATGATGGAATAGTTGTGATCGGGGTGGGTTTTTTATCCAGAAAAACGTCGAATTTTTAACAAGCCATTTTTGACTGAAATTTTCTGTATCAGTTGACTAGTATTGTTGTCCTGAGCTCAAATTTACAATGATTTTTCTCAAAGTTATGGTGATTTACAGATTGCCAATTTGAGATAATCAACGCGCGATACATTTTTGCTGATAACGCGTAAGCGGAGTTCAAAGCTGTCTTAAAAGTAGCTCCAAATTGAGTTGAGGCATGCTTTTTGATCTGTTTAATACTTTGCCATATGCTAAATGTATTAATTTGTAGTTTACATAAAGTGTGGGTGGATTTCCTTCAAAAAATTCATCAGTTTTTTCTAAAGCGAACACTATAGACCTTAAGGGGCAGTCGGAACATTAAGGTCTTTGCCCTGATACGAGCAGTCGTGTTAGATATTTACAATTGATTTTAACTTGATCGAGTTCCCTTCCTGGCCTTTTTCTGAAATTTTGTTCTGCTTAATATTTGGTCTTGTTTGGTATAAGTTATACTTTTGAAATTGAGGAGTGGTTTCAAAGTATTATAAGGAACCGGCCTTGAAAACTTGGTTATTTTTGAAAACCGCGGATTATAATTTTTTATTTTCCATGCAATTTTGTTCTTAGTTGAAAAATCGAACTCGGCTACTTAATTTATGCCCCAGCGTTGGACGAAACAAACATATAGAGCATTTTTTTGTTAATGCAAGTTCAAGTACTTTTGAGGAAGTCGTAGTTTCGATGTGGCCAGGAACCATTTTCTTTTGGAATTTTTCTTAGTGTTCACAGTGATTTCAAAACCTGGCTTCTACAGCTGAAACTTTTTGTTTTTAATAACTTATCAAAAGCTTTTTGGCTTTCTCAGCCGCTCTTTTTTATATAAATAAAGTTATTACACCGATTTTTCTCGACATTGAGAAACTAATTTGATGTTTTAAAAGCTACAATCGATTGCTATTATAAATGTTTTTTACTAAATGATATTTGACACATCTGAAAATGTTTCGAGAATAATTTTTACACTTTTTCTAGATGTACATAGAAAATGGGAAAAAAGAAGCTGAAAATATACGAAAACAAGGGTACCCTGTCACTGAGCAAGTAGCACAGAACTTTCCGACCATCGTCTTAAAAAATACAACAATTTTTTTTTCAAATTCTAGTAATTTTTTCCGCGGTGTGATAAAAGTACCTTAACGAAAAACTAGAGCTGATGCATATCCAAAAAAAAATAAACAAGTTGGGAAATAATTTATGTAGAAAAATTACAAGGAAAACAAAAAAAAAATCAAAAAAAAATTCAAAACATTTTTTCAATTTTTTTCTGCAAACTTTTGGCATTTCTAATGGAGTAAAACTAAATTTCTACCCCTGAAAATAAGCTAACATTTTAAGCTTTTGAAATAAACTATGATAAAAAAGAAAAAAAATTTTAAAAAAAATAAAACACACCCAAATACAAAGTTCCTCCGCACTTTTCAAATGGCCGGAACAACAAAGTTCAACCTAAGCGAATGATCGGAACGAAAAAGTTGGTCAATGGCTTTATGACAACTGATTATGCATTGATTCTATCAATGTGTTTCTACAAGAGTTTTTGGTTGGGATGTAAGTTCCTAAGAATTTTCAGACCGCTGTTATTTTTGTGGGAAACAATGAACAAAACGATTTTTAAAGTTTTTTAGTGTGCTGCTAGAAAAGAAGATTTAAAGTATCGTGGATTTTACCAAAGTTTGGACAATGATTAGAAAAAACATGTAGCAAACATAGATAGCTCAAATTGAAGTCAATTTTTAAATGTGAATAAACTGCTTCCGCGATTACCGCGGGATGAAACAATTAATAATCAAGACAAAGGGGAAGGAAGATGCTAACACAGACAAGTTTAGCATTACTTCATCTCACGCTTATTTAAGACCTAAATTAAAACCTAAAGAGCTTGTTGATTTCCGCAACGCCAACAAAACGGGGTGGAGTTGCTCTCTCAAATGATTTTTCGGATCACACCCGTATCTATGAAATAAAACAAAATCAGGAATGTTCAGGTATTTAGCAGATCTAGCTATAAATCAGGGCTGATCAGATCTGATGCAGAGCTGTGCAGATCTGACATGCATTGTACTGGTCTGCAAAATTAGTATTCAGACATGACGGGGAGGGTTCTCATGCTTGAAGGACCGAATGCTTGACAAATTTCAAACAATCAAAATTGCTAAGCGTTTCTTTTGGCTAAATACTTTTCTCCCAAAATCGAAGTCAAAATTAACAGAAAATGTATTAAATCAGTGGAAAATAATCAAAACGATTACAAATTGTGGGTTACAACCGCAATTCTATTCAGATAATCATCAAGATTATTGAGGTCAAAATCAGAAGAACTTTTCAGTCTTGTAAACTCATCTGCTTAGTATGTAATCGGTCAATATTATCACTAATGGCCTAGATTTATTTTCTTACTTTGAGATTTTCGCGATTTCCTTTGAGGTTTTGAATATTCAATTCTGATTGGCTGAAAGTAAGCTAAAATTAATTTCAAGCATTCGGTCCTTCAAGCATGAGGGGCGCCACCAGACATGACTAATAACTTGCAGACCTGAACAATGCATGCGAGACGTGCACACTCTTCTTT